CCTATTTTTTAATTTAAAAATTGCAACTTGTGACTAATTTTAGGAGCTCCAAATATAGCTGAAGTTTTCTACTTCAATTAATCAAAAGAGCATGCAAAAAAGTGAAGACTCCAAGAAACAAACTTTAAAAATTATACTAGTATTTTAATAGTAATATTTACAGCAGTTTACCTAGTCAAAATATTTTTTGAAAGGCAAAAGCAATGCATTTTTATAGTAACTGAGGTTTAATAGACATAACTAGTCCCTTGACAACTCAGCTTTCTAAGGTTAGTATTTTTGGGTGAGAGTTTCTTCAGCCAGCCCCTTCTCTCCTTTCTAAGAAGGTTGCTACTGGAAAACTCTTTAAAAAAACTTACACAAAGAAAATGCACTGATTTCCCTCAAAAATACTAGGAAAAAAAAAGTATTTAAGAACAGACCATACAAACTTACCATATGGATTTGCATTGATATTGGTTCCAATAAGCTCCAATGTTTGTTCTAAAATTTCTGATAATGGCACAGGACTAATTTCCAGAAGCCCTGGATCAGCATGGTGTTTCAATACCAGTGCTACTCCAGCCTCATAATTTACAACAGATGAGTGCCAGCAGTACTGCTTACTATTCTTCTCCACGGGCACCCAACCTATGAGAAAACACTACATTTTACCAAAGTACATATCTGATGTTAAATGCAGTTAAACTAGAAGCTGTTACATGCATTAAAAAGACCCTATTTAGTTAACTAAACAGAAAGAGTAAAAACTGTTATATCTCAGAAGAATGCAAATGTGACAATTATGCCTTCAGCTGAAGGCCTGTAAGTTTGTACAGCAATCTGCAATTATTTCCATGTGTCAGAACAAAGCATTTCTGGACAGCAAATGAATGATACAACAATTTTTTTTTTTCTGAATATGTTAGCTACTATTTTTAACTCTGGAATTAATTGTAATTCACTTCAGAAATTCACACACACCTTTCCCCAGTTTTACCTGTACTGCATCATAGGTACCTGGCATATGTCCATTTTCATCGGGCAAAGGATTGCCATTAGAGAACTCTATGTCCTTTGCTGGAATCCAGGTATCTGGAACAGGCTTGAAATCCTCTTCAATATTCCAAACAAATTCTGGACATAAATGCAACACTTCGGTTTTGGTAAACTGTTAACCAACTTTGCTTTAGTTGTCTTTCAATGCAATTATCAAAATACAATTACTTTAAACCTTGTTTTACAGACAGTAGTCCCAGTTACTTTGTACCACCATCTGTCACACTCAAGTGGTTTACCATTAGGCTAGTTAAAAGATGCATTTAGCCTTTACGAAGATTAAAGGTTCAAAAATTAGGATTAAAAATTTAGCTACTTATTCCAGTTTAAAGCTCTTCAATGCAAAGGGTGATGTTAAAAAAACTGGAGCAGGATAACTGATTATTTCTCGTGTTAGCTTAGTTGTTTTTCTAACTGGCTAACTTACATTGTCAAAAAGAAGGAAAGAAATCTTCACTAACCTTTGCAATCTTCCAATGAATACAAGAATTGCTTAAACCTTTTTTCACCTTGTTTGGTGGGTTTTCGATCCAACCTGGCCCATAGATAGGGTAGTCCTAGGAGTTTCCAAAGACAAAACGAGCACTTTACTGAGGTGACCATACCCTGCAGAGTACCGAAATCAACTACGTAACAGGCAAGATAGGAATTCCCATTTGCCACTAGAGAAATTTTTTAAGCAAAGTCACCCACTATTTAAATTCAAAGTACACTATGTGAATTTCCAAATCTGTTTTAGATTCTATGTACACACCTGCCTAGCAGAATACAATTTCCTTACAACTGCAGGCGAAGGCATGAGCCCCAGTGAGTCAATGAACCACAGTCTTCTCAATTCCTCCCAACCTCTGTACTTCTGTAAGTCTCCCCCAAGGAAATTAGACACATGACCCAGTTTGCAAAGAAGACTTACTAATAGGAAGCTAAAAACTTCCTATTAGTTCCTGGATGTTCATATTCACTTAAGTCATACTTCATATATTTTAGAGAGTAAATGCTACAATAACTATAGAAACACCTTCTAAGTCTATGGTAACTATTATTTTGTGGTATTGAATTCACAACAGCTGTAGATAAATCATACAAAAAAAAAAGTGAAAAACTAAGTAAAACAAGTTCTAGTCAGCATGAGAAATCTGCAAATGGATCTTCATTACCTTTATATGTTGTTACATAACAGCAGGTTCCATCCACCTTTTCAGTAGGAACTGCATTGTGTACATCTGCCTCTAATGCCTTTCCAGTTATAGTGTCAGTTGCCAAAACTTTAAATGGCTGAAAAGAAGACAAGTGGCTACGTTACTGCCTTGCTCTCATACAGATTCTTGCTCCTTTTACAGTTGGCCTCCATATATCCTCCTGTTTAAGTATTACACATTATAGGGTTGATTTCTAATAATTTCTTCAAAACTTGATAGTTTGTAAAATACTCTAAGACAGAAGAACTAGAGCAATCTGTTTGTAAAGTCTCTCCCTCTTTCCCATCCTTGATTATTATTTAGAGATCATTTTGCTTTCCACTTTAAACAGGGCATATAAACCAGTCGAACCAGTCGAACACAGCAACATTTTGAGATCCACCTCCTTTCATTAGGGTGGAAATTGAAATTCATCCTGACTAGCTCTCCCCAGCTTTCAGTTTGGAGATTAAAGTCAATAGCACCATGTTAGTGCAATATACAGAGCAAGTGTGCTTTTGCAAGGTAGCAAAAGCATCCTGGTATTAAACAATTAGTATCCCCGTTGTCAGTTAAACACTTTTGTGCTTCAAAAGAGCAAAGAAATACATGATCTGTGAATCTTAAACAGCCAACTAGTACAAATTTCTAGGACTTCAGTACAGCTTCTCTAACAGTTTTACTGCAAACATGCAATCAGTTGTGTTTGGATGCAAATCTTTTCCTCTATAATCACCATACCTCCCTCTTCTCTCCCCAGTCATCTCTGTCTTTAAATTTGGACTCTTTCTGCTAGCAAAACACAAAGCAAGTCCTTGTCTTGCACAAATCTTGAAACAGAATGTGGAATTCATAAAATGAGAATCTGTGTTACATGACATTACTGTTTCATATTATAAGACGTGTAACCATAACAAACAGCATATATGAAGATTACATCAAAAATTTCAGGGTAGTGACAAAACATTCCCATTGGTTTTGCCACCCCCTTTCTTCCCTACCAGTTATAATCACGTTTTATCCTTGCCTGAACTTTAAAACCCAAAGCAAAAACCAAATCAAAGCAACAAAAAAAAATCCTAAACAAAAACAAAACAAACAACAAAAAAAAACCAAACCAAAACCAACCAAACAAAAATGGCATGTGCCAGTTCCAGATCTATTACCCTGTTACATTTATCTGTGTGAAGAATCACCAGTACAGGGAGGCACCCCTGTATTAGCATTATTGAGATGGTTCAATTCTGAGTTGAACAATTATGATACTCTTGTTTTGGCAATCATTTCAGCTCTTTCATCCAGAAGCCAATCACCAATGGGAGAAGGTCACCCCCAGTTGCATTCAATCTCACTACACAGCTGCTACTAAAATCAGGGAACACAAGCTGGAGGTCTGCAGCTAGGCAGATGAGTGTGCAGCCCCAATGTGTCCACATCTCACAGCCTCATTCTTCTTCTATCATAAGCCTGATATTCCAGAAAGGAAACAACAAGAAAAAAACTAAAACCAAATAGGATACAAGGTCATTTTTCTTCCTGCGAGGCTCACAGGCGGCAATGGCAGGATGGTTTCACACAGGCTCCCCGTGCGGCCATGCTGAAGCGGCCTTCACTTAGAAAAAGCAAACACAGCATCAGGGTGAACACCTGTATGCACGTGCCAGGAAAAGCACCGGGCTGAGCTGACACGGCACTCCGACGGGCCTTCCTCTCCGATTTCAGCGGGAGAACCCTCTGCAAGCCTCTCCCGCGAGGCTCCCTTGCATCTACAGCCGGCCTGCACTCGGCCGTGGCTGGGGACTCCGGCACGCTCCGTGCGGCAGCGAGCCGCGGCCCAGCGACTCCCCTGGGCTCGGGCTCGGGCCCAGCCCCGCCCGCCTGCCCCCCGTCCTCCCGTCCCGGTGCTGCCGCAGCCACCTGTCGCTCCCGCTTGGCCGAGGGCTCGTCCTTCACCTCGGTGACGAACAGACACGGCACCTTGCGCTGCACCGCGCCCCGCCGGCTCATGGCTCATGGCTCATGGCCCCGGCCGCTGCCGCCGCGCCTGCGCCCGCCCGCGCTGCGCCACGGGAAATGGAGTCCGCCGGGGCGGGGCGGGGCCGCCTCCCGTCCGACACGGGCCCCGCGGGGCGGCGGCTCCGCCCGGGGCGGCTGCGCTTTCGCCAACGCCGGCGCCCGCAATAGCGGACTCCCATGGACCCCTGAGTCTATCGTTCTGCCAGGAACCTGCTCCAGCGCGGGCTGCCCATGGGGTCACAGCCCCCTTTGGGTGCAGCAGCCTGCCCTGGCGTGGGGCCCTGCGGGTGCATCTCACCTCCATGGGCTGCAGGGGCACGGCTCCTCGCCATGGCCTGCATGGGCTGCAGGAGACACCCTCTGCCCCGGCACCTTCTCCCTCCTTCCCTGACCTTGGTGGCCCGGGGTTCTTTCTGTCACACATATTCTCACTCCTCCCTCTGACTGTTGTATCTTTGTGCTGTCGGAGATTTGTTTTTAAGACCACATTAACATCAGCAAGAAAGAAGTTGGGTATTTAAGCTTCACTAAATTGGTCTCTCCAATTTCACATTTAAAAAGAAGTAGAATGGGCAATTCTTTGAAATTATGTGATATTCTATATTTTACTTGGATGCAATAGAGAAAAAGGAAGGTGTTCATCCTGGACAGGTCATGTAGCAGCATCATGCTGATGTCCCAAGCTGGAAGAGCAGTTGGCAACTGTTAAAATGCAACATTCCATCCTGGCTAACAACTGCTCTCAGTTCAGTTCAACAGTTCAGCCTCATGGAGAAGGTACCACATGCTTCCCTAGACTATCTTTTGTTTTAGCTACACTATCCACTGAATTTTATGTCATCTGAGGGTTTGGCATTTGCGAGAAAACTGCTTTCGGGACAAGATGATTTGCCTGACTGCCAATAGCTTTAATTCAAAGAAGTACTTACATTCCAACTGGTAAAAATCCAGGGATGGTTTTAGGGCTCTTGGTTATTCCAGCCATTTTTAAGGGTCAGGGAGTTAGGTGTTAATGCCTGGGAGATAGGCTTTGTGTCTCAGGGGGTGGCCCAATTGTACTGACTACAATCCAAAAGTTTTTAGAGATGATGCTCTTAGACACAGCTGTTAATGCCTGGAACCTTCCAAATATTCCAATATTTTCAAGTACGGCCTTTTCTTCATTTAAAAAATTACTCAGAAACTCATTAAGAAATAACCCCCAACCTGGCATTTACAGTTCTCAGGTGGGATGCCATTCACATCCAGGATACAAGCCTGAGTTTATGAATTCAGGGTAAATCTCATGAGCCCTTGCCTCTTTGGAATTACAAGTTTATCATATGTTTGAGAAAGATACCTTGGGTTATAAGGATAAATGAATTGTATCATCAGAGATGGTGCTTAAAAATGCTAACTCTGGTAAGACAGAGATGCAGAACAACAGTTTTATGTATGACTAACAGAAGTGACTCGTGTTGTGAAAGTGGGATCTCTGCGATGTTATGCAGACTTTTTAGCTGGTGCCACATTGATCAATAGAGGTACTGTAGCAGTATGAGTATGAGTAAAGAAGCAATAATTAAACAAATCTATGTAGACAGTCTATTATTCCCATTAGGTTTTTGTTTGTCATCTTTAAAAACAGCTGAAGGTCAAAGATGGTGTGAACAGTGTAATAGCAGCAGTGCCAACATCAAGTCCCAAATTTTTTTAGTTTTTGTTGTGAATCTTTTTGGGTTTTGTTTCTTACCACATGTTTTCCCATAGATTAATGTCCTTTAATAGTAAGGCAGTACAAGCACAAGATTTGCACTTGTACAGCATGTTTCATTGGAGATTGATCTGATTTTTCCATTGTACAGAAAAGTAAATTCAGCCACATGTCAGTTAAATGACTTAAGAGATTTTTTTCCTTTCCACCAGCTCATGAAAAGTCTGCAGTAAACTAAGTAGACTGTCTTACCCCTATTCTAATTTAGAAACAATTTTACATCACCAAATACCATTTACTTAACTCAGTAACTTTAGAGCTATTTACAGTTTATGACAAAAGTCATAAAAGAGAATTTAAATGTTGTAAACTATAAGAATGTTGTCCCACAAAATCTCGGTCATATGTTTATAGCAGTGTGAACTGTCATATATTCAATCCTATGTTCACACAGCATGTACTAATCCATTTATTCCATTTTGATTGTTACATTTACAATACCTGAAAACTGTTTTCTCTGCAGCAAAACTACAGCAAGTTCTCCTGTTTCTGGGAGACAGAGCCCGTAGGCTGTAGGAGGATAAGCTGTGACTTCTTTCACAGAAAACCCCGTAATATAAATGGACTTTATTTGCCACCTAGTAACAGTGAGTAAAAATATTTTCTCAACAATTTGCTCATTAGAGTAATGAAATAGACAAAAATGTCCTTCCAGTGCTTATGTAAGAAAGCATAAGAAAGCATTAACTTAAGATCAAGAAATGCACCATGATGAATCAATCAGGTATGATCTAACCCAGCAAGTTTAAGGGAAAGAAAGGAATTTGAATAAGATTGCTACATGAATTACTTTAACTGTCATATTATGAATCTTCATACCTATTAGTGATATAAAAATGAAGTCACATTTATGTTGCTGAGATCCATGGAATAAAAATTTTGCTTAACTTGAATTTCTAATAGGTTAAATCTCTCTAGTAGTTCAAATAGTATGCAGGTAATAATTTAAGAGAAATCAAAAGTAGTGTGTGTGTGTGTGTGTGTGTGTGTAGTAGGAGGAGGACGTTAGTAGGGACACAAATATCTGGTGATAGAGCCCAACAAGTATGGACGAGACGCCCCTTGTAGAGATAACATCAGATTACAGAGCTGTTTGTGCAGATATATTTCCAGTTTGTTGTTTTGCATAAAAATGTAGGGCTTGAACATTGGTTAAATATGACTGAAGTACTACTGTAAGGCAGCACTCTTATTTTTGGAAACAAGTTGGGTTTTTTCCCTCATCTGTTTCTAAGAGTAGCTCTTGACTACCAGAAATCCTGGTAGACAGCTGGAACCTAGACCAGGGTAAGAGTTCAGGGCAAAGAACAAAGACAGCTGTCAGAAGAAGGAGTGAGGAGAGAAAGTCACCATGAACCCTGATGTTCCTGAAATTGCCCCAGGAAAATGTAGGCTGTCATGTCTGGGCATGTGGAGCCTAACTAAGCAGACAGGATCAAGGCAAGACCTGGAGTGCTGTTTTTCCAAGTGCCCATACTGCCTTCAGCACAGCTCCCACTTACATAGCACGCTTTTGGCTGTGGTGCAAGACAGAGACTGTACCCAAAAGGCTCTGTGGGCAAGGGTATCCTGTGCAAGAGCAATGTCTGACAATCACAGCTAGAAAACAGACCAATTACTTTTTACTGAGATATGTACAAGTTCAAAGCCTGTGTGTGCCACAATAGCATTGCAGATATTAAACCTGCATTTTTTTTTTGTTCTTATAATTAAAAATCTTGTTAAACTAATTGAAGTTTAATTTGGCTTATTCTACCTGGAGCTAAAAATAGCCTGTTCTGAACATTGAAAAGGGCTCCATCAAGTTAGTGTTGTATCCTACATGATATCTTCACATCTCTTACATTAAATACAAGTCTAATTTGCAATCATGTTATGAGAAAAGTTTAACATGAGATACATACTACTCATAGGCAAGCAAGAGATGCACAAGAATAAAAACAACTGGAATAATAGAAAAACGCCCACGCTTTCTTTTAGACTTATATAAAATATATCTTACTTCAAGATTTTTAATATAATGTGCAGACTACTGTGGTTGAAAATCAGTCAACTTGAACAATACTCATAGGCTCACCATCTTTCATCATTTTACTTTTTAGTCCATTGTATTCCTGGTTCTTGGAATGTGTTATCCCAGTGCTAAAGCCTTTTTGATGAAAATATTATGTGTGGAGATAAATTTCTTAGGAAAATAATATATTTTATGATTTTTTTTTCTGATTAAGTGTAAATTATTTTTGTCTTCACATTCCTTCACAAAATCTACATTTTGTACCTAGTAATGAGAGTTGAGATTTAGTTTGATATAAAAAAAACTATTCAAATTTAAAATAAGCAATCCTGTGCTTAGCATTGTTAAATTCTTCAAAATGGTTACTGTAGGGATTGATACAGCATGTTTGCAGCTTTTTAAAATAGTGCAGTGATGATAATGTTCCCCTTTTCAAAAGTCTGTATTCAGGAGCGCCCATGTCCCTTCAGAGGAGTTGGCACCTGTGTTTTTCATACTTTCTGGAGTTGGAAGGTGCTTTCCTGCCAACCTCTGCATAAGATAATGTCTAATACTGATAATGTTTTCAGAAGTGTGCCTGCTGCTGTCAACATGGATGTGATACTTTAGTTTCTTTCTAACAAAAGAAATTCAATGTTCTTGTCTGCAGATACCCCATTGAAACAGGATGTCCAAGGAGGCATTCTGCACCTAGCCCATCGTCAGGACTCACTCAGAAATCAAGACAATGTTTTAGTACCAATTCATCCTCCACTGATTATAAATCTTGACGATGAAGAGGATGATGAAGAGGAAGATGAAGAGGATGATGACGAGGAAGACAACTGTAAACAGTTTTTTTTCTTTTATAAGCAAGTTGAATGGGTTTTGTCAGCTCTTGCAATGTACCTCACAATTGATTTGTTATAACCATGACATTTTTAGAAAAGAGTTGTTGAAAAGTTTTTTGAAATAGTTTTCAGCTAATATTTAAATGCTGGAACTGTTAGTCACCAGATGTAAGCAACAAATAGTTTCTAATACCTGTGATCCAATTCAAATGGCCATCAAAAACACTTCAAAATTTTGGGATGAAATTACAAATTTAGGAGATACTTTGTTTCTGGAAACAAACACATTTTTGAACAAGGGCTATATGCACTCCTCAGTGAAGATGAAGTCACAAGTTTTTTAAAAAAGATAGTTGTGTGACTTTAACTTAAGTAATTTTTTTAGCTGTTTTACCAAACTCTGTAGACAGTCATTTTTTTAGACAGTTATTCTTAAATCTAGCAAAGGGAATTGATGCAAAACTCTCCATTAGTTGAACTGAATGTTCTTACATATATTTACATATATGTTAATACAGTTAAACCATTAACTGTATCTCAGAGATAAGAGACTCATGGGGATGGAACAAATGACACATTCCTGGAAAGTAAAAAGTGAAAGAATGACCTACTTTCAGGCATGCATTCAGCAAATTACTGTGCTGCCCCAAGCCACTTTTCACTTTCCCACTGCCCATCAGCTTGGCTGGTAGACTAGTGTGTTAGTGCTTCCTAACTTGGTTTCAGCCTGAGTATGCCACTTAAACAGTATAGAAAGTAGGGCTTTACTAATCTTCATAGCTTTAACTGTGAGATCTGGATCACTTACTTCACCAGCTCTGCCAACAGGCATTACAGGGTAGAAGTGTTCTGACAAGCACTCTCTGGTGACACCTTGAATCTGATTTCCTTGTGAAAGATCACTTTGGAAATGAATTTTGGAGATATTTTTGAATCCTTTTGAATTAACAAAGATTTGATTTTTAAAATGCATTTTAACTGGAATCCCGTTGCACTTGAAAATACCTAATAGTAAGTAATCATTTTTCAGTCCAGAAGCACAGTTGCAGTCAAAACCAAAAGTAACCAATGACAAAAATTAATTATCATATTTTATTATTAAGAAATATTTAAGGTTTAATCTTTTACAAATATTTCCTGCAGATGTTTCTAACTGGATGCCTAAGACTGTTATAGATATTGAAGAAGAAAGAGCAATAAGGGATATATGCTATAAATCTGGTAAATATGAAATCAATCATTCTTTCCTTAAAAGCAATGCTTCCAATACAGTAAACTTTAGGGCTTTTTTTTTTCCCCTCTTGGGGCACGTGTAGGAGAGTATTATGGGATTCAGAACCCTTACAAACACCAATCAACAAAAACTGTGTCTTCACCGTGGCAAGATGAGTTATTACCCTTGGAAACTACTGAACAAAACTTGCAGAAAGGCAAGTATTTTGATTTCTTTGGATTGTATTTACCACTACTAAAACTGCTGTAACAGGGAGAAACTATTACATAGTTTGCACTTCCTCCGTGCTTTTTCTATTTAGTGAAAATAAAGTATTGCAGAAACATATTTGTATTTGTCAGCAAATTACAAAAAAACTTCATTCATTTTTGCCATATATATAGTCACACTTGTCTTGATGACCTGCATCAATTGTGTATGGAAAATGTAGAAATGGGCTATTAACCCAATCTTTTATGATATACACAGCATAGGTATTTCATATAATTTCATTATAAAGATTTATGCAGTCTAATTTTTACCATCTCAAGGTTAGGAATGTAGTTTAATTTCTCATCTAGGCTCTCTGGTGAAAATGAGAGACAGGAACTCCAATGAATCTCCTTTTTATTGAATCACCAGACAGTGCCAAAGAGTGAGATGAGCCACTTCTTCAGAGGTGCTCCATGATCTCTGCTGGCTATCTTGGGTGTCTTGATGTCAAAATGTAGGGTTAAATCAAACTTTTCTATAACTAAATTTAGATTGAATACTTGATTCAATTGTCTTGTAAAAGAGAAGAACAAAAGAATTACATTTTTTTAAATTATGGACTATCCAATATAATTAAGATTGAAGGAATACAAATTTATAAACATTTACCAAATTCTTAGGGTTTTTAATTTACTATTCTATTCTAATTTCTAAATTTGAAATGTTTGTTATTAAAATAGTTTGGATAAATTCTTTCTAACAAATACATAGATATATTTAGTCAATAGATGAAAGACTCAGTGACAAGTACATTAATATACCTTTTAAGAAGTGTCTTTATTCATCATTAGCTACATTAAGAGAAAAAGATTGATATGTTTCTCTAAAACAATTTTTCTGTTGAGTTCTCTGAGGCTTCAGGTACAATGATGACACGCATTCTGAAAATGCCATAAATTTAATTAGGTAGGATTAATAAATATAATTCATGGGTAGTGAGAACATGAACAAGCAGGTAATTTATAGCTGGGTCTTTACTTTGGAGGCACAGTCTTCTTTAGTCTATGAATTATGATATTTTCTTACATAGCATGAAAGATAGACATCCATTACACTAGACAGGATTCAAATAATTAATAAAAGAGAAAGAAGGTTATGAAATGAGAGGTTAAGAGAAATTGCACTAAACTAATCAATGGCTCATAGGGGTGGGAAGAAGAGAATGTCAGTGCCATTACCTGTGCTTACACACAGCTAAACATTCTTTCTGTTGCCTTTCCAGGTGATGGTAACACAATTCCTACAAGATTTAATAATACAAGAAAAGAAAAGGAGAGTTCAGAAAGGAAGGTATCAATAGAGAGTATTCCCAGAACAGATCATAAATCCTTTGACAATGGAGGTAATATACTGTAGCATCAGCTTCTCATTGATGAATGTCATGTGGTAAATAAAATAACTAAATATGCATGCATTAAACTTCCTCATTTTGCATTTGAGTTATTATATGTTCTTCATGTTCTAGACACTCTTTCTCACACTGAGCCATTAATTATAACAATAAATAATTAGCATTGTTTACAATTACATATTATGCTTATTTTAGGATTGCACTGGAAAAAAAACTTTATGCAGATTACAGTTGGTTTTGTGAAAGAAAGGGTTCTGTGGAGTTATGAAAAAGGAGGTGTAAAGATGCAGACAAATTGGTTAGAGCCTGGTGCTAGTAACACCAAGGACGTGGGTTTGATCCCTGTATGGGCCATTCATTTAAGAGCTGGACTTGGTGATCTTTGTGAGTCCCTTCCAACTCAGAATATTCTGTGACTGTGAGTCTGTGACTGTCTGAAGTCAAAATGCTTTCAAAAACTGTTATTTTTGTGAGACTATCCATATTTAAGATGAATGAGCTTTGTATTTTTCAGTTATCCTACAGAAAAATAGCAAAACTGCAAGCCTGCAACTTGTGTAACAGGTTGCATAAACTTGGTTCCCTCTGCATAAATTTGGTTCACCTTAATGAAGACACACTGTTTGACCAATTGAGTTCAGTGTTGAAGCATGTCATTAAAGTTGAAGAATGTCCCATTCTCCTTGAATTTGCTTGATACTTTGTGGTATTCAGTCCTTTTTTTCATAAATATTTACTAATGATAAAAATAGTAATAACTGTAGTATTCTTTTTTCTCTCTTAGTTTGTCAATTAAAAATAGTGCAATACCATGCTAGGGCTGCTTGCTCTAGCTTGGAACAAACAGGTGTGTCTGCTAGCTCCAGAAAGTAGAAATTAATCTTACATTCTACATCTTTTCCTGTGAGCTTTATATACAAAAGTATCTTTCTTTTTAGATATTCTTTGTGTCTGCATAAACAGTTACCACTGAACCACAATTCAATAATTTAATCTCTGTTCACAATTATATGTATTTAAGCTTTTAACAGACTATTTAACAGCTCTGCTTAACTGACTATTTTCTCTAATTTTCGTGGGCCTTATTAAATCAGCTATTTGGTTTCTACTTACTTCAGCTAAAAACATGCCATTTAAAAAGCAGACTCTTTGCACTGTTCACCTTTCTCAAGGTGCTCTCACGTATTGATAACTGTGAGACTCCTTTCCTACAGGAGGTGGTGGTTTTGTTATGCAGAGGAACACATTTATTGATGGGAACAGATTTGAGGCACTACCTCGGGAAAAAGAACCAATTACATCAAAGTATTCCAATGTGAAAGGTACTTCATTATTATATATTTGCAAATTTTTAGATTAGATTACTATTGTTCCTCTGCAAGTGTGCTGAACATTATATATTTTGTGTAAAACCAATCTGAAGTGAAATTTCGATTAACAGTGTGAATTCTTTCACTGCAAGATGACAGCAGTTGTTGTATGGTGTGGTTTAATTCTGCTTCTTTCAGCCAGTTTTCATCTTCTGATAGATTCAGTTATGAGTCCCTGAGTTACTAAAGTCTTTGATGCTCATGATAGATCATGGGGAATGCTGTGCACTTTCCACTTCAGACAAGTAAAACAGATTTGATTCTAGGTAGTATCTCACAGAACACAGGACTTAATAAAACAAGGAAAAAATATAGTTAAGGAAAGAGCATAACACTTGTGATAGTGTATGCTTATCAAAAACTAGTCACATATAGCAAATTAAAATGCCTATACTTAAAGTACCTTAACCTTTCATCCTTTTCACAGGAGAGTTCCACAATATATTTGTCAATTTACAAAATGTTATTGTGAGTAGATTGTTATCCAGTTATTTCTTTGCAGTTTTAAATAAAAGGGAAAAAAAGGACATATTTTGGTCTCTAAACTATCCCACAAACTGAAGCAGAAATAAAGCATTTCTACTGCATTTTGGCCTGAAATGACAGGAACAAAAAGTGCTTATTTATGTTAGCAGGAAAAAAGGGAGAACAAAGCCCCATCTTCCCAAAGAGTAGCGGCGCCAGGAGAAGAATACTGTGGTTACTTATCAATGCAACTTTTCTTGTGAAGTTCAGGGAAAGTGGGCTTACCTGTTCAACCAGTGCTGTTGCAAATTTATCTCCTTCATTTGTAGTATTTTGTTATGTTCATCCACTGCACATGTCCAGGGTGTATCCAGATGCTACAGGCAGAAGTCATTCACAGCCAGACATCCTTAGAAGTGCATGGCTTGGTCTCCATGGGCTCAGCCATGGGTGTTGTTCACACCTATGAAGTGTAGAGAAAGGATGATCTGATGATCTGATTTTTGCATTTAGAGTTAAGTTTTGAGTTGGTCTTCAAGATTTCTTCTGCTAGAGGAAATACAGGCACTTTTGCTTCCCTTCTGGGGAATGACACAGAATAATTAACGTGTGAGACCATGTTCCACGCAAAGGAACCTATTTATGAATTAGGGGATTATAAAATAAAAATACCACAGTATTTTTGAATATGAAAATTTTTTGTGCTTTCTGAAAAGTGAATACATGTTATTTTAATTCCTCAGACACAAACTACACTGAACTGGTAAAGGGCCACCACTTTAAGGAAGTAAAGGAAAATAAAAGGATTTCTGAGGAGCGAAGAAATGCAGCCAATGCAGTAACTGGCAGAGGTATTTTGAAAAAATCATCAGCTTATTAATTTCTGTTTACTAAACTGTGAAATGATTTAGCACTATCTAGTAAATTTCTCTTAGTGTCAAATATGGACAGTCAATACTTGGGCTGATCCATCTACAAAGAACATTTTTTAGATCTTGTTTGGTCTCCAGTTGCATGGACTATGTAAAATTTTGAATAATAAGATAACCTTTCTTGTATTTTCACTTTTAGGAATTCACACTCCAGACCCCAAAGTAAAACCAAGTTATCAACAAAGGGGTCAAAGTAAGGAGGATGAAACTGCTTCTTCGAGTCCATATGGGAGAGACACTGGAAGATACACTCATTTAAATTCTTCAGAACCTCGACGATCAGCTTATGTAGTCTACCGGACTGTCACTCAAAAACCGAAATTCAGTGGATCTGCAGGTGGGTTCCTGTGTGCATAGAATTCTTAAAATGCCTGTCTATATTGTACTGCACTCAACTGGGTCCCTGCAGCTGAATAATAAGTTATTTATGCTTAAATACAGACATGAGTAAATTTGATCAAGAATAATTTTCACAAGTAGATTTCAGCCATATCCATAGACAGAAATGTAAAGATTTGTAAAGCTTTACAGTTTGTCAGGCAGTATATTCATGGACAATGTTTGAGCTATCTTTACAGCAGGAATTCATGGATGATACAATGAAGTAGTGATGTGCACAAATATAGTGATCGCCACTTTTTACAGCATGTCTTATGTAACTTATTATTTTCAAATATTTAATAAACCTTGAAAACTCCACCTTTAAGCTCTTATTTTATTGTAACTACTTATAGTAGAAGTATGTTTTGTGTAGAATCTCAGTTTTGTCTTGAGAAATGTTTCTTGTTCAACCTTATTTTTCCCAGTAGGAAAAATATGCTGCTTGCTTTGCAGCATATATTTCCATAACTGGGATTTCACTGAGGTTTTCATTATTACGAATTTGTATTTATTTTCATTATTTAGGATTTTTTTTTTTTGTCTTGAATAAACAAGGGTTTGGGTCTTATTCACACTTCTGTTACCAATTTAAATGCAGTGCAAATATTTGTGTTTAACATTAGTATAATTTTTTTCACATTAATTATGTTGGACAGAGGACTGAATCTATTCTTTCTGCTGCTCATAAAGGATGGCACTTTCCTTCATCTTACTCTACTGTCTTCTTGATGGTACATGCTATGTCATTAATTTGACAAGAAACCTACAGGTGGGATTCTGAGTCTTGCATCTTTCTTTCTGGCAATCTGCTTCAGATTTATTATACCTTTTGCTTTATTTTTATCTTGCTAACATATATAGCCTCACCCAATCTAGTACATCATTTGGGCTTTATTTGAATTTTCAGTGTCTGTGTCCATGGTTTCTCTGGATAATTTGTTTTTTTCATTTGTCATTTTGTCAGCAGATTTAGTGGTAATTTAAATAATTAGAAATTAAAAAAGTGATTTCATCTTGCCAGTTTCAGTCATCTCTCTTAGGCTGCATTCATTCTACCTTTTGAGGTGCATCCCTGTCTTAATTTCTATCAACAGGGACCTCCTTCAGACAGAGTAATGCCTCTTTTAATGTGAATAAAATGAAACAAATTCTGACATTGGTGCTTTGTCTTGAGGACAAATAGTTGTGTCTCTTTTTTCTTTGAATGTTTGCTTTCATTACATGTGGACAAGGTGGTATAGAGATTATAGAGAGAACATTCTTTATGTGAAGAATGGATTTTATTAAATTTCCAGGTTAAAAAGAGATAGAACATTTTTGAAAAAATAGGAATCAGCATTTTTGTTGATTTTTGTAAGAACAATCATTAACAGTTTTGCTGACTTTCTTTCCAGCAGTACCTGAGTCCTATGGTCTGAAAGGCTCCAAACAAAAGAATCAGCCTGACACCAATAGGAGATTTTGTACACAAACAGAAAACTATGGTAACATTTGCACATTATGTATAAAGTGAAAATTGTAGAATTATTACAAACTTAGTAATTTTAATTAATCACATTAAGATGGAACTAAAAGAAGAATATTAATAATATTCATTTTGATCAATTTTTAAAGAACATGGTTTGTGATTGGGCAACATATTCTGAGGCTCAATCAACTGTCTAGCAAAAAATCCATAATATATCCTTATATATAAGGCTTTCACAGGGAGGGATAAAACAGAAGCTATTGATGTCTTTGGGAAGGTCTTCAGGCCAGGAATAATCCCTTGTTAAAACCAAGGATGTTTGTAGCAGAATCTCCTCTTTTGGAAGATCATATGAGCCTCATGGAAATACTACAATATTGCAAACTATCTTTGAAGTTCTAAAGACTCTGCCTTTAAAACTAGCTTGTATTTCAGAGGCGATGTCTGACTCATCTGATACATTAATTGAAACTTCAGCTCATGCAGTATTTAATTCACATATCAGACTAAGACTCTTCCTGAAATTGTGGCTGAAGTTAGGAAACAATGTGTATGTTTTTCCTACAGGCAAATATACTTCAGGATCTTCTAATTCTCCAGCTTGGAAGAAGAGAAATCCACAAGCAAAACCATTCTCTAAATTTAAAATAACTACTCAGGTAACTGATAAAAATGATTATAATTCAGCCTTTTTAGGAGAATTGGCATGTCTCTGCCCACCTAGAAAATGTAAAAGTGCTTGTAAAACTTCCTCATTCAAAACCTGATTCTGATAAATGTCGAGTCGCTGAAAGAGTATTAATAGTTTTATTTGTTTTCAGTCATATACCTTTGCCTGCATAATTAACCTGTGATTTCTGGGTTTTTTTAACAATAGTACTTATATGAAAGAAAAGTGTGTACTCTAAAGTGCTGCAAAAGGCAAGTTTTGGATTCTAGCACCAGACAAACACAGTAGAGACCATATGAGTTTGATCTCTTTCTCTACTGGATTGTTCATGAAGCTTCAGCAATGTCTGAACAATAAACAGCTGAAGTCTGAAGCTATGAAAGGACTCAGGCTACAAAATGTTTGCAAGATACCCTAAAGACCATTCATACATTTTACAGCTGCCTTGAAAGCTGAGATTAGAACCTCTATCTTGTGTTTCATGTTGAAATTTTACTTCTTAAAATGTTTATGAAGGAGCATGTAGTTTTACTCTAAGAAATTATGCACAGAATTTTGTGTATATCTGTTTTTGACAGCAGAGTAAAGAAGACATGGAAATGAATAAAAAAGGAGAAAAAGAAACATCTAAAGGGAAATAAGGAAATTATCAACTGGAATATCCAAAGATGAAGAAACTGCAAATTCCAAAAAGAAGGTGCAGGAAGGAAGCACACTATAGTGTTTCAAAACTGGTTAAACATTTTTAAAAGTATGCTCTGCATGGTGACATATAAAGATCTATATCCACTATGTTTAATGTACTATAAAATTTTGCAGTTGAAGTTATTTTTACAGACTACGGCTCTACACCATAGACTGATAGCTCATAGAGAAAAACAATCCCTAAGCAGAGTCTTCTCCTATTTTATTTGATAGATGTTTTAAGGCATAATTCCTAATATGAATAAATACTATTAGTTATACTTAGCAGTTTCAGAGGACTTTTAATGTAAACAGCAAGAGTGTAATGCATGCTAGAATGTGGTTTGCTGGTACAAAATCCAGATTCCTACATGGTTTAGCTGTTTTGCCAGATGTTTGGGGACTCAGTCTAAGTTTGATCTTGAGATTTTCCAATTTTAGCAGACCATAATTATGTTATGAACTAAACGAAATTCACAAAAAACCTCAGAATGAACTGAGATATGTATTTAAACGTGTTTCAAACTAAAATATGAAAAGTTGTATAAAGACCGAGAGAAAGACTGGTAAGAAGGGTAGGTTAATATTGCTTTCTGTGGAAACAAACCTCTTACTGAAGTGCTACATATACATGACTTCATATCTTTTTTCTCAGATGTTTTTTCAGGTTTTTTTGCATTTACTTGACCTTTGGTCATTCTTAGAACATAATCTGTTTTTGTAAAGAGCCCTTCAAACTTCCTTCTGTAACACTAGGATCCAGTAATTATCTTGGTGGCACCTGTAACTGTGAGAATGAAAGCATTTTGCCACCTTGGAGCCTTTTCTTCTGTGACTGCTTATTACATGAAGCTGGATCAGACACCTTCCAGGGTACTTCTACCTGAAATAATTCTATTGTTCTATGAGAAATATATGTTTCTCTGCCCTACTTGATTATGTCAATAGTGGTGTAATTTTTATTTTATTTTGAAATTGAATTTTTAATAATTTAAGTTAGAACATGCTGTACTGATTATAGACAGGTATGGTTACATATCACTGTTCTTAACTGAGAGAAAAATAGAAAAATCTAGAGGATTTGGTTTAGCTAAGTAATAATGTACAAAACAAGAAGCATCTTTTAAAAATCAAACACTAGGTGTGTTGGAAATGTTTCCTCCACCTCTAATTATACATTAGAGTTTCAAATTGTAGCACATGATGCCTTGAAGCAACATTTCATATGTGGTCTGCCTGAGGCAATTTAAAGTCTCAATTCAGAGCACTGTTGTACCAAGTTATTTTTTAGTATCTTGATAAAGGCCTTTAATTCCTTTTTTTTTTTTTCCACATAAATGAAATATACATTTGCTATTTGTCCAATGTCTCCACAGATTAGAGTATTACATTTGATACGACTGAAAATAGGCATAGGCAAATGTTAGGTTGGTCTGATTTTAGCATTCCATTTAAAAGGATTTCAGTATTCATTTTGTGCAAGTGGTTAATATTGTTACTATATGGGTATATAAGTGCAGACTGTGCTGTGCTGCATATGCTGCCTGCTGACTTGTGCCGCACAGATTTCTTACCACAGGAGAAAATCAGCAGCTCCTGCTTGGTACAGGTGATTACACTCCCTGCTGGGCCTCACCTTTATTTAGCAGTGCAGCAAGTTCTCAGGTGGACACCCTTTCTGTTTGACAGTACAAATGAGAAACAGAGTTGGCTTCTTTGAGAAAATTCTGTAAGAGTTCCAGTGACCAAAATAGGGTAATTTCCCATGGGTGAAATCTGCAGGGTATGCTGGGCTGTGGTCAGAGGACCCATTTGGCTTGGAGGTCCCAGCATCTGAAGGGTCATATAGTTAATTCTACTATCTTCTTTTTCTTTTTAGTGTGGTCTCAAAAAATCAGGATCTTCAGAGGTTTTTTATAGAATCTTACTGGGGGTCATAAAGAACAAGGCACCTCCTTGTACAGTTTAACCCACCTCCCTACCCTGACAAAGCAACCCAACAAAACCAAAGCCAAAAGAAAATAATATTCTAATATCTTAAGATGTGAATAGCTCAGCAGGTGGTGTCCAGCTCTTCTCAAGGGAAAGACAAGGAAATGCAGGAAGAAAAGGATGTGACCATGAAGGTAATACTGAGCTGATCCTCAATTTTTGCGGAATCACAGCTTCAGTACTCTTTTCACTGGAGCTTCCTGTAGAGAAATTACAAATACGGTTCTTTCAGTCATGACTTGCTCAACTGAGGAATTCACAGATACCAAAAAATATCTCAGCACTGCACATTAAATATATGACTTAACAAGATAATTGCAGTCCCTGTGAGGTGTTAGCTGCTTTTGATAGAAATAGAGGAATATTAAGGGATCAAGTGCTTTGTGTGATCTAATCCTTAATTAAGATTTCCCTTTCACAGCTTCAAAGATCCTCTAAAATAATAAAAATCCCGGTTTGTTTTCCAGATCACAGACACTTTCCCTGTTATATTTTTTAATCTTCCCTGGTTTTCTCTGTCATTAAAACCCCAGAGAGGAGCCAAAGAAAATGGAGAATATTAAGCATTTCATGCAGTAAAGCCTTAAAGATTGATTACATTTCTGTACTTCCACATAATCACTGCATGACAGACCCACCCCTCCCCACTAATTTACACTTATAGTGGTTGAAAATTAGCTCTGAGATAATGAGCTAAAGATCAGAGGTAGAGGACCACTGAAGCGGAGTTGAACTTGCTCTGATATCAAGTATGCGTGGCCATAATCTGCTGCCGAATTGGAAGGTCCAGGGGAAATAAGTGATTTGTTGCTTTCATCCTTGGCATGTTAAAATATGCTAATGTTTTTCCAGATGATATTTCTAAAAGCACATCAGACATCTAATCTAGGTGCATCATATTCCTTAGTAAATAGAATAACAGTGCTACCACCTGTATTTTGACAAAAGTTTGCAAAGTTTCCAGTCTCAGATCCTGCATTCCTTAACAGACCTATATGACTAAATTAATAGCATTGACTCCCAGCATCTCAGCAGCACTGATATTTTAAATATTCTGTTTTTTAATTAAGGTAGGAAAGTCCATCTCAAGTTAGCACCTGAACAAGAAAAGCATTAGTTGTTGTAAAATAAAAATGGAGTAAATTTTTATTTACTCTGGGAATTGTAGACATTGTTTAAAAAGAAGGATTTTGACATTTTTCCCCAATAAATATATTTTATGATGAAATCTCCCTTGTATAGCAGCGCATTATGTAAATATATAAATTTATTAAAACACCAACCGAGTCTGTCAATCATTTAACTGCGTGTTCAGCCACCGGGGGGCGGTGCAGCCCCAGGAACGGGTTCGAACGCCGCCCAGCAGGATCCTTCCTTGGATGCGCTTGGCTCCCTCCCTCCAGAGCTAAAACCTCCCCGCGGTGTTCTGCACGGCCTTCACATTCAGAGAAAAGGCCACAATAGTCTTCTTACGGCCAGCTCGGGAGAGAACTATGACAACCTACATACAAAAGTGCTAAATACCTTTTTTTTCCTCATAAAACAGAGTGATGATATAATCCTACTACTCTCTCTTCCTACACACTTTCCAAATGGTGTTTTCTGTTATCTCCTGTGTAGGAGGATGGATTGTGAGAGAGCAGAGATAGTGCTGAAAGCACTCCCTGAGGAATTGCAGCTGTACTGATTACCAAAGAGTAGGAACAGCCTTGCCTTTAATGGGGCCCAGCTGTGTCCAATAAGGATGGGTGGTAAAAGAGTGGCTTAGCTGGGTGAGAGGAGAGTTGGAGTCGGTTGGCTCTGCTGCTGCATGGGGTGAGGGTCCAGTGGTCGTGCAAGGGATGGTATGGGTTAGTATGTGCTGCAGGGGACAGAAAGGGTCAGGTGTGTGTGTTGGGGACAGGAAGAAGTCAGCCAGCCATATAGAAGAAAGGGAAAAGGACTCAGTGCTCTGAGGAACTGCCTGTGAGAACTCACAGAGAGAAGGTATGGAAGTTTTACAGTAGGATGATAAACTGATGGTGATGGTTGTTTCCCATCCACTGTTGATTGGTGCCAAGCACTGAGGCTGGCATCCTGTTCTGAACAGTTCTCACTGCAAAATTCTCAGGAAAACTGAGAAGTCTTTGAAAAAAGATGTTCCAGACTGAGAGTTTCCTTTAATCTTTCCAGTCTGGATGCATTTTAGATGTTTTTGAATGCCTTTCATTTCATATTTGGGGTATTTTACAAGTGGAAACAATAACAGAAACATGCTACTATGATATATAAAATTTGAGGCAGATGAGATTACAGCTATTATGCTTAAAATCCTCTTCCCTCTTTTCTTTTTTTACTTCCTGAGAAAAAAAGGATGTTAAGCAATATTAGATAATAAATTGACAGGGCCATTTGAAGAGGTAATATGGACCAAAGCTTGCCCAACTGATCCTCATTGTAATTGCAAGATTTCATTCCTTCTTCTGAAAAAAATTCTTGAATCAAAACTGAAATTGAAAAATCAAAAAAATTTGAAATGGAATTACTAAAACCAATTGAACTGAGAAGAAATGTGGTGCAGTGAAAAGGACCAAAACTTGCCAAAATTATTCTCTTTGAAGTCCCTAAAATTAGGGAAGAAAGGTAAATAAAAAGACTGAAGAGAAACAGAAGAATTGAAATTAATTGAAATTTCTTTTTTATTTCAAGAAATTGAAAAAAAAACCCCACCAAACCAGGTAAGATGAGAGAACAAGAAAAGCCAATGGGGGTGACAAGAAATGCAGGAATATGCAGCAAAGCTTGCCCAATTAATCCTCATTGAAATCACAAGATTTCATTCCCTTTCCTGAAAGGAAATTCTTCTTTTCAGTTACCACAAAGTTGTTGAGATTAAAATCTCTTTTGACAGGAGGAGACATACAAGGAAAACTTCAACCCTGTACTTGTATAGGAGGATAACTGCCCCAAGTCTACTCAGAGGATT